GGGGAGTTGGGGGGGGGCGGGATGAAGGACCCAGCTCTGCTTTCTGTTTGACAGCAAATAGGGGAAAAAAAAAGAGAGAGAGAAAGTGCAACCCCCAAGGCTGTGCCCCGGAGGAACACGGTGACCTCTCTGTACTTACGATCTGCCCCGGGGCACCGGTGACACCGGGCTGGCCCCGAGCACCCGCTTCACCCTGCAAACGGGAGACAGAGGCGGTTCAGGGGCAGCCTGGACAGAGGAGGGGATGGCATGGGGACATGGCGGGGGGGCTGTGGGCCCTGGGACCCTCTAGGGTGAGCGGGGCCGCAGGGCGGGTGCTCGGAGGGGGTTACTCCCCAGACCCACCTTCTCTCCTGGGCCACCTTTGCTTCCCGGCTGGCCCGGCAAGCCCTGCGGAAACAAAGCTGGGATCGAACCCCATGCACGGCACCGGAGGCAGCGACCCTGCCCAGTGCCCCAGGTCCTGCTGGGTGCTGGCCCTGCACCCTGGCACCTCCCGGGGATGAGGGTGCCACCCCACCGGTAACGGGGTACCTGCCCAAGCAGTGGGGCTCCCACGCTCCCATACTCACAGCTTGTCCCCGGTGTCCCGGCGTTCCCGGGCGGCCAGCCTGTCCCACGCCACCCTGCAAGGGACAGAGAGGTCATTACCATGTGTCGGAGAAAGGTACAGAAACGAAGTGTCCACAGGTGGGACAAGGGACTCCTGGCCATAGGGGGACGCTGCCCTTGACCCCGTGGGGACAGCCACACTCCACGAGTCAGGAGATGCCACATCAAGGGCCAAGACCTTATAGAATCATAGAATCACTTTGGTTGGAAAAGACCTCTAAGATCATCGAGTCCAACCTTTAACCTAATCCTGCCATCCCACCACTAAACCATGTCCCTAAACTATGCCACTTGCCGTCCCTGTTATTTCCAGCAAGCACTGGTACGAGGAACAGCACGTGTCCATTCCCCACTGCTGGCACAGGAGCTCACCTTCACGCCTGGGATTCCTGGGGTGCCGTCTTTGCCATCGATGCCCGGGAGACCCTGCAAAAGGGGTAAGAGTTGCTCGGTCTGACACCTCCAAGAGGGACTGGAAAGCTCGGGGTGGGGGCAAAAAAAGGCTGGGAAGGGAAAGGAAAGCTCCAGCCCTGTGCGGAGCAAGGGTGCAAGGATGCAGGATGGCCCCGGGCAGGGCAGAGAGGGACAGAGAGATCTTCTCCTTGCAAGGAGCTCAGCCCTGGATGCGGGCGCGGGTGCTGTTGGCTGTACTTACGTTCTCCCCCTTGGGGCCGATGTCTCCCTGGGGGCCCCTGATGCCACGGCCACCCTAAGAGCAGGAGAGGGCAAGCGTTATTTCAGCCACCCTCTCGGTGCAGGAGACGGAGCTGGGAGAGGGAAGAGATGCCCATCGAGGCACCCCAGGCAGAGCCCCCCATCCGTGCTGGGGAGTGGGGCCAACCTGGGGAAAAGGGAGCATCGGCATCGCAGGGGGCACGGCGCTGCCCTCCCTGACGGGGCGGGTTACCTACCAGGTCTCCCTTCTCACCAGGGTCCCCAGGTGGTCCCTTGGGGCCTTCTCTGCCCTGGAAGGGAGAAAGACAGGGGCTGAGCAGCGAAGTGCAGGGTCCCCTGCCTGCCCCTGCAGCCCCCGGGAGAGGAGGGAGGGCACTCACCGGCCGCCCGGCCACTCCGATGGTCCCGACCATCCCCTTGTAACCAGCAGGACCCTGCGAAGAGAGCGCAGGGTGGGGGTCAATTCCTCCCATCCCAACCTCAGCCCCCTCAGCCAGGTCTGACCCCACCAGCAAGAGGCAGGGTCCGGCTCCCCGAGGTGGCCAAGCAGCCCCGTTAGCAACGTTCCTGGGGAGCAGCCTCCAGCCGGAGGAGCATGGCCACCGTGCAGCCCTGGCGAGTGGGTCACCCCGACCCCAGGCACCCCACCGGTCCTTACCGTCTCGCCCTTGGGTCCTGCCATCCCAGGGTAACCCCTCAGGCCCTGTGGTCCCTGCAGGGGGGGAAACAACAGCGGCTTAGCTGGGAACAGCCCCAGGAGCTGCCCAGGGGGAAGGCGCAATTAGAGCAGAGGCTGGGACTGGCAATCAGACAGTTTTTGCCAAACACGGGGTGTTTCAGTCCCGCCGCTCGCTCCTGGTTCTGCAGCCCCCCCCGCCGGGCGCCTTTCCAGCTGTCGGTTCAATAACAGCAATGGGCCCAAACTGGTGCTGCTCCCCCCTGCCCCATAGCTCTGGGCTTCAAAGCATTTTTGCCCTTTCCCGGACCGAAGGGCTCAGCCCATTAATTGCTTTTCATCTTCAAAGTGCTCAGCGAGCTCCAACAGCTTTAATCCCTACATCCCCACGGTGAGCTGGATGCTGCACCCCCCCGGTTCAGGTGGGGTAAGGGGGGGGTCAGTGCACACGAGCAATTTGTCCCTGCCCCGTGAGTTATCCACGTGAACGTGCACGAACAACCCAGGTGCCCAAGCTGGCGCTGACCCCGGAGGTCTCCATCGGGATGCAGCTTTGCCACCCTCCCAGCAGCAGCTCCATGGCTGGGAGGAAGGAGATGGCTGGGATGAAGGCTTTGCCCACGTTGCAGTGGTGGGTCCCCGGGAGCAGGGACACACTGGTGTCACGTCCCCGGTGCTTGGGGCCAAGCACAACCCAGCTGCCCCCAGCCCCTGGGGCACATGGGGGGCAGAGCAGCAGAGAGCTATAAATACGTTACCGGAGGGCCTGGGACACCTTGTTCTCCAGAGACGCCAACGTCACCTTTGGGGCCCTGGGGAGGGATGGAGAGGAGAGAGGTGAGTGTTGGGGTACAAACTGTCCCAGGGATCCAAGGCTCCCTCACCTGGGACCTGGCAGGGGATGGGGACAGATCCCCCCTCCCCAGGGAGCCACCGTGGGATGACCACCCTGTCCACCCTCCATCTCCCAGCCCTGGATCTTCCTCCTCCCTCTCCCG